CATCAAGTCATACCTTACTTACGCTTGACGCTGAATCTCCCCATATCTCCTCATATCTCCCCATATCTCCCGGGTGCGTGTTGACGCCCGCCATATCTCCCCATATCTCGCCATATCTCCCCATATCTCCCGGGTGAGTGTTGACGCCCGCCATATCTCGCCATATCTCGCCATATCTCCCCATATCTCCCGGGTGAGTGTTGACGCCCGCCGCCGATGCCGCGGACCACCGGTGTTGCCGCGGAGACCTCAGCGTCGTCCCCCCCCCCCCCCCCCTGTGTGTGTGCAGGTGGACGGTGGAGGTGCGCGGGCGCAGCACCGCCTACGTGTCTCCCGACGGGATGACGCACTTCTCGACGCTTGCGAAGGTGGACATGCCACATCTCACTGCGAGTCCTGCGAGACGTCATACATGCATGTGACACACTATAGCTGCGTGTGACACACGGTGGGCGCGCCCACGCCACTCTCAGAGTCTCTGGGCGGAGCGAGGCGCCGCACGCTGCAGGCGGGTGAGGCGCGCCCATGACAAGCCCACGCCCATGCCCTGGTAGGTCCAGCGGTACCACAAGCAACAGATGGCGCTCGCGGAGCGCTTCCAGCAGCAGCAGCAGCGACACGCCGAGGCGAAGAAGCGCGAGAAGGAGAAGGAGGCGCTCGAGCAGAAGCAAAAGCAAAAGCAGGGGGGCGCGAGCGGCGGCGAGCCGCCGGCCGCCAAGGGCGGCAACGGCAGCGGCGGCGGCGGCGGGGAGGCGGGGGCAGAGAGGGAGGCGAGGAGCACGAGCGCCGTTTCGCCACGGGCCGCCGAGCGCTCTCCCCGCGCGCTGTCTCTGCGCGGAGCTCCCCGGGCGGAGGAGCTGCTTCCGCCACCTCCGGCCTTCACGCCGAGCGGCGGCGGCGGCGGCGGCGGCGAGGGCGGAAGCAACGGCAGCGGGCTCCTCCACCCACCGGCGGCGGAAGGGACGAGTGGCGGAGGCCCGGCCGGTGCATCCATCCTCCGAGAGGCAGAGCAGGCGCAGGGGTAGCCCCAAGATCTCGTATACAGTCGCGGCGCGAGTCGGTCTAGGCGCAGTCGCACGCCCAGCATCGAGTCTCTCCAGTCCATGCATGATGCAAGCATCCCCGCTGGTTTCGACCTTACTTCATACTTGAGTCACTCTCACTGTTTATTCTCGCCAGCCTTCGTTGCCCCTCGCGCACGCGGGTCACGAACACGATATTGAACCCCCCCCGCGCTCTCACACTTTTTAGTTCCACCAACACAAGAACGTGTAAAGCCGTATGACTATGTGGAAACGGGGCGCGCGGCGCCCCCCCGGCCGCGCCGCGCGCGCGGGGGCAGAGCGGGGAGAAGGCGCGGCGCCACCGCCAGCGGGCGGCGGGGGCCGCGGCGTGTGAGGGCGTGAGCGGGTGCATGAGCGAGCGACTGCTGCGTGTGCGGGGAACACGTGGACCTGCCAGGCTGCCCAAACGCGCCTGGTGCTCTCGCTGTCGAGGTGACAGATGAGCTAGGCACGCCCAAACGCGCCTGGTGCTCTCGCTGTCGAGGTGACAGATGAGCTAGGCACGCGAGAGGCGGCTATGCGCGCTGGGAGCGTGAGGAGCGGCGGGTGGGCGGCGGGGGCATGAGGGCGTTCGCCTCCTCGTTCTCGCTCTCCCCCTTGGGGCGACCGCCCTTGCCGGCGCTCGACTTGCGGCGCGGTGGGCCGAGGCCAGGCTTCGAGGCAGCACGTTTCGAGGCAGCGGCGACCGGCTCTGGTGCCGGTGGCGGCGGTGGCGGCGCGGTCGGGGTGGCGGCAAGCCACTGCTGCACGCTGCGAGTCCTATTCGCGGGGGTCTTCTTTTTGGCGTTGGTGGAGGGCGGTGAGGCTGCGGGCAGTGGGCCGGGGCACGGGGAGGGGGGGGGTGCCAAGGTCCAGGGGAGGGGGGGGGGGGGGGCAAATTGTGTTTGGGGGGATTTTTGCTGGGTGGTGGTGGTTGTGGGGGGGGGGGG